ATGGGCTCTGACAAGGGTCCATTGCATATAGCCACCCCGTTTTTCGCCTCATTTGAGTGACATATGCGTTTTGGCATCGGATTCCGGTCCGGGGGAATCCCCCTTTTGCCTTTCCGCCCTTGAGCTTTATTTTTATTTTTTTTTTTTAATGAGTTCAACGTGTTTTCCAGGATATACAACAGTGGTGGTGGGAATTGTAGGCTGACTTTGGGATTTAAGAAACATGTAATATGCGGAATATATATTTTACTTATATAATTCTATGTTTTCTACTTCTATTTTTTGTTAATATTTGATTACAAAACAAAATCTAAATTTTTAAAATTTTATTTCCCCATTAAAAATTAAATAAAAGCTTCCCTATTTGCCTTGCCTTGGGTGTGCCCTGCACCCACCGTTGTCCTTTGTTGATGTTTTGGCCCCTTGGCTTTCATTCCTTCTTTATTATTATGCGCGTTTCCTTTTTTTTTCTGCTGTCGATCCCCGGTTTTCGGTTTTATTTTTTAATATTTGCGGTTGTCGCTGTTGTTAAGCCATCGCATCAACTTGAGTTCAATTAAAATCCACATCAAACAATGGCCAGGCACGTAGAAACTACTTCAGGAATCGCTGCTGCACACGAGGGTGGCTCTGTACTTGATGCCAGTGGGTCCTTAATGAGCGAGGGTGATGGCGCAGAGGACGACTCGTGTCCTGGCTTAAGTCCGACTCTCGGTCTCGCTCTCTCGTCTCTCCAAGAACACGTGTCCACGCAAAACTTGTTGCCCTACAAGTCCCCCGTCTCGTCCAGGTCTCGTTTATCCATATGACGCGATTCGCACGCGATGCCCAAAAAGTGTTTGTCCTTAAGTTCAAAATCATGTCCTTCGGAAAGCCGCCTGGCCGCCTTTGGAATCCTGTGCGTGCTGATTAACCCAATAACCCATCCACACATGTGGCTGGTTTCCAGGGCGGTTGCGGTGTATTTTAAGCCCACGCAATACAGAGGCGGGGGGAGGCAATGGATTTTGGATCGAGAAAGATTTGATTTTGATTAGGGAAATAAGTGCGTTTCAAGGCTTTGAAGTGGGCACAGAAAGCTGGGAGGAATGGGAGGACTACACAGCTGGGGAATTGAGCGGAGAAAGTCAAACTAAGACGCAGTTTGTTCAGCAAAATTGGTTTAAAAGAGTAAATTAGACATCTGAAGCTTTATATTATTATTTAAACAAATGAAACCTCTATCAAAGACAGCTATTAGTAAGGTTTTTGAATTTCTATTCTTTAGTTATCCTTCTCAACTTTAAATTGTTTTAATTTGCTAACTTTTCAGGCTCAAACTTAGCTGTAAACAATTTATATTGTATTATTGATCATTTCTAAAAACAAATTAGCATTTGGCAGGAGGAGGATGCACATCAGGAATGTCCATAAAATTAATAAAAAAAAAGACTCGAGCTGCGAAACAAGATGGTAGATTCCTGCCAATTTTGAGGCCATCAAGGAGACCCATCAAGGAACTGCGCAGGGCTGGCTGATGTACATATATAATTAAATGGGCATTGGTTACGCCTCCGCAGTGGCATTTGCCACCACCGGAACCAGCGAGACCTGATGACGATATTATTGTTAAATTGCAAAGCGCGCAAATCAAATTAACAACGCGCCCTGGCCGCCTGCACTTGTTGTTGCTGGCTGTCCCTTTGGCCGCAGAAAAATGGTTGCAAAATGTCGTTGGCAACCACAGTGGCAAAGGCACCACCGAAAAATGAAGGACCGAATAGAGCTCATCCTTGCATCCAACCACGACGAACCCCCCAGTAACCCAGCCCGAAAAGGACACCAAGCTAGCAAGCCACCACCCACCGCCCAACCGTCCAACCACCTCTCCACCAGCTGTGACCCGACGGCGTTAATGACGCACAAGTGTGACACTTTCCTCTCTCGACCAGGCACAGTGGGATGAAGGTGTTTAAAAATGTCATTAAATAAATATATTAAAAATAAATATAAAAAAATTTAAATTAATCATTAAACTTATTAAATATTTATAAATAAATACAGAAAAAATAAATAATAAATAAAAAGTTTAAAAAATAATATATTTTATGCATAATCGGGTATTTTTAAATATTAAAAGCTTACCTTTCACAAAGTATATCTATGTCAGAATTTAATATATTAAAAACTCGACTTGAAGATGCATAATAAATATTTTAAAATTAAGAAAAAACATTACCAATAAATAATTTTGAAATGTCCTTCATAATTTCCCTAATATTTCATAACCACAGTGCCGAAAGGAGCAGTTGAAGCTGAAATGCGAAACAGTAGCAAATTGTTGCTAAATTTTTTTTTATATATTTTTTTTTATTTTCTCAGTGCGTCTGTGTGGTGGCAGCAAGGACAACGAAAAAGGAATAACAAACGACAGAAGCAAAAAAACGACAAAAAACGAAACAAGGAGCGGCATGAATAAATGAAAGCAGAAAATCAGTTGATTTTAATATGAAATTTCACGCTACCCCTGCCCCCTTTCACTCGCCCAAAAAAAAAAAAAAGAAAGAAAGGAAAACGCAGTTTAATTGAAAATTATCGCAACATGGTTGTCACGCAATTATTTCACGTTATCACCAAACCGAAAAAAAAGCGGAGAAAGGAAACGAGAGGGGTGGTTGGTGAGGTTGGAAAAAGAGAAGCTGCTGAGATATCATTTATATTCCAGGCGTTGCGAATTTTCTAAAAACAAGTGCCAGGGCTAACCACCGAAAATCGTTCTCGAGCAGGCCACCTGATGTTGCCATAGCCGCAGCCAGTCTTTCGGGGTGTCAAAGCCAGATACGCAGATACAATTGTATCTTTCATATGCTTTGGTGTTGCCATGGCATGACATTTTAATTGCCCAAAAAAAGAAAAATCACAATCGAAAGTCATAATAATGGGGTCATAGAGATCATAGGTTGAGGGTCAAGAACTAGGTCAAAATATTTTTAAAAAATATTATTTAGCCCTTAAAAATGAAACAGAAATTGATTTTAATAAGTATGATCCTACAATTACCTTCCCTTTTCAACCCCAATAAACCTACTGATTGCTTTATTAAACGCCAAAGTAGGAAAAAGCAAGACCTCATCGGGCCAATCATCTGGGACAAGTTAATTGAGGCAGCCAGAAACGAGTTGAGGTCATTGAACAAAACAGGGATCAACCCTAATCCGGGCCTGCAGGCGGTAACTAATTGACTTATTGATGGCCTCATTAACCGAACTCAACCTGCACAGAGATCCAGTTCTCCCCACACACCCCCGACTATTTTGATAAGCCAGAAATACAGAAAGTACAGAAATCTAACCATACAGAACCAGAAAAAAATAAAAAAGGGAAACGCTAAAGGATGAATTGAGCTCGGACCCAGGGGCACATTAATCAAAGGCAATCAAACAATAAGCAATTCGGCTGAAGTCGAAATGTTTTCCGTAAACAATGAGGATCTGGTTGTCAATGAAAGTGAACAGGTTGGCTGGGAAATGAAATAAAAACCGAGATATGAGAAACGAAAACCGATGAACAACTGAGAACTGAGAACTGAGAGAGAAATCGGTCAGGGACAATGCAAAGGAAATGGTCAGGATCATGGGGTGTGTGTTGTTGGCTCAATCAATGCCAGCCAAACAAGTGTTATGAATGATTTGATGTTTTCATTTGTCCTCGTTTTTTTTTTTTATTTTTTCGGGAAACCAAACCAAACCGCACAAAGGAGCCCGGGTAAAGAGGAAAAATAGAGAGTGAAAAATCCCCGATAATAGTTTGGATTTCACTTTTAGAGCTCGCCAGACGCACTGGCACCGTCGTCGTTGTCGTCGAATTGACATGATTTATGAGGATCCACCGGCGGTTTTATTACGAGTCCCAAGTCCCAATACCCTTGGCATTGTCCTGACCACGGATTTGTTTAAGAAATGATGAAAAATGTTTCAATAAACAGTCGCAGGTTGGGTTGCCTCGCAATGGGAGGTCGCCTCCAAAGGCAGCTTTAACCGTACCAAAAAAACCGGTGAATATTCAGAGACATATTAATGACTTAATTGACCAACGTGTGGTCATGCCATCGAGAGTGAAGTATAGGAGTCTAAAGATGCATTGAATATGGTATATTGTATGACTTTATTGATGGCATTATCTGAATAATCTAGGAAGTTTCCAAGTTGCTGAATAGGGAACCTCTGGAAAGTATTCATTTTTACTTGTATTTTTTATATTATTTTTAAAATCAGCACTGATCCCAAGATTCTCCCCTCAATTAGTTACCTTTTCATCCTGTTTCCCACAGTAATTTTTCCTGATTTTTTTATGGGGGGCGTGAACCGAAGGGGGAAACAAACAACAAATCTAAAATAAGAAACAGAAGGAGACGAAGACGAAGACGAAGACTACCGGGTAAAGTGGCAAATTTCCAAACAAATTTAATTTCCGGCCCTGGGTCACTAGGATTGGCAAACCTCATTTATCATTTCAGGTACTGCCCTTGAAAAGGGGAGTCCTTTGGCTCTTATTCTCTGGAAAACGTCTTTGTTTTGGCTTGTTTTCTACGATTTACAATTGAGGCATTAAAGAAGTCTGTCATACAATATTTAGAAATATTTTTAAAAATATATATACTATTTCAAACCAGCAGGCACTGATGTAACTATCTTGATTTCTTCAAGAAATACAAACTCTTTGCTGTAAAAAGTTATCCAAGAACCCTTACTCAACCCTCGATTTCCCCGAAAAAGGATTTGGCTGGTAAAAAGGAGTTTTCGAAAGTGAAAAAAGAGTGAGCCTCCTGGCCGCGTGTTGGAAGCGTGTGGACGCGCCAGGTAATACGTCCTTGACTCCTGGCATTGCATAAAATTTGCTAAGCGGCCGCAGGTAGATATCCTGTCAGCCTGCAGATGACTCAACTGAATGCAACCCGCAGAAACCTCATCGTAAAACGGCGCGGCCAAAGAGCCTACCGGGAAATGAGGAAAACACTAGCATTGCCTTGGTCGTTTTATATTTATTTCTGAGCCTTTAGTTCTGTTGCGGGATTCACTCGTCCTTCAGGTCCTTCGAGCTGGTTTGGCCACGAGGAGCATCCGAGGGCTCCGCATTAAGATCTCGGCCATCGCCGGCAATGTAGCCAGAGTCAGGCTTTTTTCCCTCCCTTGGATCCCTTACCTCGAGCCGCTTGCCCTCGCCCGTCCAGTAGATACCCTCGATTAGCTGGAAGATCAAGGATAATGTATAGAATGATTATAAAAAGCAAGTTATTTAACCCACATTCGGGTCACGTGGCTTGGGCTGTCTCTCCGACTCCTCAGACTCGGCAATCTTCTCCGATTCCTCGGACTCCTCTGATTCGGCCCTCACTTTGCGGCTGGTCTGCGTGGAGCCTTTTAATGTCTTCTCCGACTCGGATACCTTGGGGTTGGGCTACATGACATTGACGGTAGAGTAGATATTCATGGTACACCACTCACCTGATAATTCCTGGACCTGGGTCGTAGCTCCGACTCTTCCGACTCCTCTGACTCGCTTCTGATGGCTCTGTTCGACCTCCTGGGATCAGATCCTGCCTTCTTCGGCTCTGGTGTTCTCACTGCCCTTGGGTTACGCAATGCACCGTAGGGATAACGCTCAGATTCCTCAGACTCCTCAGACTCCTCCGACTCGCTTTTGATGGCTCTGTTCGACCTCCCTGCCCTCGGATTTCTCTCGGATTCCTCCGACTCTTCAGACTCGCTTCTCACGGCTCTGTTCGATCTCTTAGGTTCAGATGATGTCCTCTGCACACGCAATGCGCCGTAGGGATAACGCTCAGACTCCTCCGACTCTTCCGACTCCTCTGACTCGCTTCTCACGGCTTTGTCTGACCTCCTTCCCAATTTCCTGGGATCCTGGGATGCCTTTTTCGGCTCGGGGGTTCTTGCTGCACGTGTCTTTTCCGACTCCTCAGACTCACCCCGAACGGGTCTGGCCCCGGGACGTCGCTCAGACTCCTCCTCCGACTCTCCTCGTCGCGATCTCCACGAACGGGCCGTCTTCTCCGACTCGGCTTTGGGTGCCTTCCGCTGACCCTTCTTTAGGGTCTGGCGCAGCTCCTGAAGCTGCTTGCCCAGTTGGCGGCGGAACTCATCGCTTTCGCTGCTAAAATTGAGCACATCCTCGCCAGACATAAGCGGCTGAAGGAATCGCGGCGCCACATGCCGACCGCTGCCGAGGGAGAACTCTCCGTTGAGCAGGCGGCTGATCATTTCCAGGCACTTGGCTGCACTACCGCGAACGGAAGACGCCGCCGCCGCAGGAGGAGCAGCCAGGTCCTCCGCATCCAGGCTACGCTGATAGAAATGCTTGACGCTTGGCGGCTGGCGTCTCTTGAGGACGCGCAGCGTGAAGCGGCCAGCTCCTACTGAGCGATTCATCACGATCCACTGACCAAGGGTTCTTTTGAGTATTTTTTTGGGTCAAGCTCAAAGCTCGTTTTACGTGGGATTTTTATACTTTTTTTCGACTTTACGTTTCTGTTATAGGCGGATTACGCGGTTATTATAATATTTGTTACTATTACAGGACATGCGCCCAATTTCTGTCAGTGTTTCAATTCAGTTTACAGGGAATCTGCGCGAGTTACTTTTGGACGACACACGAACGTTGAGAATTTCAGAATTTTTGTACGTTTCAAAATATTTTTTTTATTTTATTTTTTTTTTTTTTTGTGTTTTTAACGGAGAATTTTGAGGGTTTTTGTTACGAAAATGAAGCCGAAAATGTGTTGTTCTAGAGTCGGTGTCCGGCTAACGACTGACTAACTAGGGTTTTGGCTTGGGCTCCCCAAATCGTCGGACGGTTGACGTGTAGTGCCACGCCCTCTTAGATCAGCAAACCCGCCTACTTCAGCCATAGGTTTCATAAAACAATTGACTTTCTAAATGTTCATAAAAAAAAGACACATAAAAAGGGATGGAGAGAAAATGGGAAACTTAACAGGATTTTCGGTGGAAAAAAAAAAACAATTTAATGCCATAGAAAAAAAAGGATTTGCTGGGGTTAGAATTCGCGCGAAATTGCATCTTTTATGAGGCTGGGTTTTTGGCACGTAACCCTAGCGCATAACCCTAAGCCCGTAAACCGATTTCCCAGCTACCTGCCACGCCCTGTCGCCCCTTTTTGCAGCTAATTATGTCATTTGGCATAAGTCAAGGCTGCAAAGTCAATTGCGGAAAAATGGGTAAAAATGTGACACAAAATGAGCCGAGAAAATGCCATAAAAATTGATGGGTGAAAAGGTCTTTCTGGGGGAGGGACTATGACTCGGACTTGGACTTGTGCGAAATGCAACTGGAATTGCAACCCCGAAGAGGATGGATTTTTATATATATTTTTGTGTACAACAAATGGGGGAATTAAGGTAATTACTTTTGAGCTAGTTATTTGTTCTATTTATCAACTTTGTGAGCTTATTAAAAAATATTTTCATTGTATTATATTTTTTATTCAAATATGAACTATCCTTTAAACAAATAAATTCATTAACTATGTTCTTAATTATTAAAGTTAATTAAAATTCCGCCTATTTGATTTTCAATTGTTAGCTGCAATTTTAGTTGATATATTTAAAGAAACTTTAAGCTAAACGTTAACAAAAATACATTAATTTTAACTGACAAAGTATTGTTTATATTATGTATAATTATTTGTATATATTAATTTATTATAATTTTAAATATTATTTTATTATTTTCCCTATATTCCTTACGTATATTATCCCCTCTCAAAAGACACAAAAAAATCTTAGAGAAACTCCTCAGTGGCCATGAAAATTCCCCAAAAAATATAGAAAAATCTCCCCAATCTCTCCTCTTAACCCTTGTTTTGTGCACAGTTTTACCCCCTAGTTAACCCATTCCCGCCAACATGTTGTTGTCGTCAGTGTCCAGGACAATTTGCCTGCAATATTGCGTTGACAGCCACGAGAAATAATAGCCCAACAATTTATACAATTTATGAGTTTTGTGAAAAGCGGCCGAGGGACCCAAAGGGGTGGCAAGGGTTACCCCAAAAAAATATATATATATATGTGTGTAGCATACTTAAGCGGGCGTCGGTGGGTGGTGAACGAAACAAGACATAAAAAAGTGGGAGAGTAAAAAAAAAAACACAGAGAAATCACAACCGAAAATCATAAATTCGGCATGTCTAATGACAATTTGCCAGCTCCACATGAGAGGGGTAAAAAATAAAATGTTGAGAGACCCACAATTTTATCGTTTTGATTTTGAATTCTCTTCTGTGCTGCCCCCTTTTATGTTGGGCTCATAAAAAGCGTTTGTTGTTTCGGTTTTAAGGTCCCCCCGCAGGCCTTGGGCTTGGGACATCAAAACATGGCGACGCCGCCGCCTGGACCGCAGACTGATTTCAAAATGACGCCAACCCTTGATGATGGATTTTGAACTTAATATTTTATGGTAGATAGATATAACATTTACTATATATATTTAAAAAAAAATATATTTTTTAAACTTTAATTTATTGCTGAAAAAACTCCACAAAGAAGGCTTCCTCTCAATTGACATAAATCTAAAATAATTAAAATCAAGGCTTTTAAAAAGTATAAATAACAGCCAGTAGTAAGTATCCTGGCAGCTGGACACTGGGGGGACATTTATGAGGCCAAACGGCTGGCCAATGCCAGACGCATCCGCAGTATAAATCAAACCCATCCGAGGATCCCTCAAACACTGTGTTGATCCCATTGTGGAAACGGCTTCGAGGAGCAGACGAGTCGAGATGAGGCTCTCTTTGAGTTGCCATAACTCATCCAGCGGAGTTCTCCTTGGACCGAAATGAAGCAATCAGGGGTAACAGCCCCGGGTAATTGTTGTTTGGCATTTGGCCGATGATGTCACCACACACGGAGACCCCGGCATTGTCGTTTCCTCTTCCTGTTCTCTATGGAAGCCTCCTTATTGCTGTATATACTATGTACATTGTCTGAACCAGAATCAGTTTGAGACGTTTTACGATTGTTTACGGCTGCCATGGATGCTTCTGTCTCTTGGCATCCATACACAGAGAGAAAAATCAAGGTATTGTTAATGAATAGTCAAAATAGGGAAAGTATTTAGGGAGTTATTTAGAGGAAATTTAGACTTAAGTTGAGATTAATTGAAATTGTTTGAAAAAATATTAAATATTTATTATTTTTAAACATATATCCATTACTTTATCTAATATTTTGTATTATTTTCTTTATTATACACTTCATTTCTCCTTGTGCATCGCATGTCCATCTAAAGTCCAAACCCAAAATGAGAACCGAGCCCATTGTGGCCAAGGCACTTTAGGCCATTCAGCCTTAGTTTCAGCTCCTGGGTGTTCCCTTCGTCGTCTCCCCCCTCCACAAGGCCACAATATGTCCCTCCCCCCGCTCGAAAGACGACCCCTTTGCAGCGCATTTAAGTCCCGATAAATACGCATTTGATTTGGGTCCCCACGGAGAATGGAAGATAATAGAAATCGAATGGAAATCGGTTCAACTTATTATTAAATCAACCCTTTTGGCAGAGTCCCTTGTTTACCCAAACTATTAGCTCCATGCTGTTGGGGGGAAGGGAGGGAGGGGGTAGGGCTTAGGGCCAGGCAATTCGGGGGATTTGCGGCCACTGGCCATTGACAGTTAGGATGAGGGTGAGAGAAGAAAAACTGTATTAATCTAGAGCCTTTCACATACTCTTTCCCTAGAGTTTTTTTTTGTTCAAAAACTAAACTAAATATCAATAAATTCTTATTATTCAAATTAATAATAATTTATAAATTACTTTTTTATATTAATTTTAAATATTATTAAAAACAACATCTAAACAGAAAGCAACTCCCTGGCAGTGTATCCCTTCCAAAAGAGTGACATAAAAATAAGCATAAAATTAAATGTGCCACATTGAGGAATGGACAAGGAGTTGGACCCAAGGGGTTAAGGCGTTAAGGGGTTAAGCACGGGGGGGTCAGCGTGTGGCGTTTAAGTTGATTTCGTTTTGAATGCTTATTTTATTGCGTGGAAAATGACGCCAACGTGGCCAAGAAATGGTGACTGTCCCATTTTTGGCCATGGCTAGGTGGATAGAATTGGATAGGATTGGATTGGATTGGATTTGACCGGGACTGGACTTGGCTCCAGTCGCTTTTATGGCCAGCGATTGTATCGGGAATTTCGTACGCAATAAAATTCAAATATACTTGCGATAAAAATCAAATCTTGTTGGACATTCGAGGCTCCATTTCTGCCCAGCTTCTCGATTTCCAGAGCTCAATTTCGCCTTACTGCCAGTGATTCGCTTTTATTGTGTCTCCATGTGTGCGAAAATAGAAGGAATTAAGAGGGCATAAGATAAGGACGAAATGGAGAAGGAATATGTTGAAAAATAGCAATTAAAATTAAGGTTTAAAGTTACCCAAAAACCAAAATCAATTAACTATATACTGAGCCAACAGGTTACAGGATATCCCCCTGCAAACCCCCTTAAAACAAAAATGATTGCCTCCTCTCGAGAGCTGACAAGGTGAAAAAGTTAAGAAATCAATTTCAAAAGGTACCGACAAAATTTCCAGGAAAGTGACCAACTGCGGTTAGTGATAGGCTTCGTGTTGAATTCCAGTTTTGAGGACAGTTTTGGGATACTAATGAAGTGCTCTCCAGTTGTATCTGCATCCGAGACGGTCCCTGTGTATCTGTAGTATCTATTGCCGAGCGCCCCCCTGGGGCATTGTCGGATGCATTTGGCAAATAAAACACCTACCGACAAGCCAGCATGTTGTCTGCACAAAAGGGCCCAGGCCTGCAACTGCAACTGTTGCCAAAAAAAAAAAAAAAAAAGAGAAAAACAACCAAAAACTAAAGAGAAATGTGCCCGAACAGTAGGAGCCCAGGACAGGACTCTCTGTCTTGAACCAGAGTAGGACTAGAACTGGAACTGCAGGGCAATTAGAACATTATCAGGCGGCAATAATCGACTCGTTTGCACCCAAGTGTCGTCATCCTGCTGCCTTGTCGTAATAATAAAAGGACCCTCTCTCTCTCAGTTATCCGTGGAGCAGTGGAAAAACAACAGGACATCTCTAGCTACGTCTGTCCCTCTGCCAGATATCGAAGGCAAAAGGCCAGGCGACATTGTCGGCGGCGACAGTCGGGCATCAAAGTCGATTATCACAATTTTCGGGATTTGCCTTAAATCACGCACCGGCCCAAGCCAGGCGTCGTTGTCCTCTGAAACGACTCAATTAAAATTCCTGGAATGTAGCGCAACACCAATATGTTGCCCCTCTCTCTAGGCGGTTTCTGTGGTTTTTGATGTTGTTGCCCCTCTGCGTCTGCTAATCCGTTAAATTAATGATAATGCGCGCAGCGAACTCGTAAATATTGTAGGGCCAGACGCTGACCATTGTCCTGTTACATAGTATCTTCATCCCAACAAAATCCGCTCCTCATCTTGGCCCTAATTTCTTTTCACACAAATGCTGCATACGTAGGGATTAGATGCAGTGTGTTTCGAGCTGTGACGAGGGCTTTAAAGTTTATAAAATAAATTTTAAAGTAAGAACAAATCTTTTAGGGAGGCTTGAAATAAATTTAAAAATTTTTTAAATATTTATTTAATGAAGGTAGGTGTAAGATGGGTCTTCATTTGGGAAGCTTAGAGAAAGAGATATTATTTCTATATTTTGCCAACAATTTCTAGTTAAAATTCTTTGGTTATGTTCAGAAGCTCAGCGAAGGGCTGCAATTTAAGCCATCTTGACCTACCCCTGGCCTCATAGACATGCGCATTTCCTGGCCCAAGATAGACCATTATTTGACCCACTGGCGGCCATACTTGGTCAAAATCTTGGGGGTTGGAGTTTTATGATTGGGCTGGGGCCCAGCCAGATGTAAAGGGTGTCAGAAGCTAAACCTTGAATAGAGGAAAATGCAGAAAAACATATCAATTTACCATACAAATTTCCTCATCCAGTTCAGCATTATCCCATGTCCAATGTTACCAAAATCCAGCTGGTGACGAAGGCAATTTGCATTTAAAGGAGTTGGGTTGTGTTAGCCACTGGGTGACAGGCATTAAATAATTAACTCGAATTCAACATTTATAAGGACACATGAAAGGGGAAATGGTAAGAGGGAAATGGGAAATGGGAAAGCGGCGGCGGTGGGTAAATGGGATTTCCATGGCTCAGACAATGTCAAGTAATCCCCAAAAGAAAACATTTAACATACGTAAGTGGCAATTGAATTAAAAACCAATAATATCAAACCGAAAGTAACAGTCAGGCTAAAGGGAACATGTGTAGAGATATTTATTTAACAAACATGACAAAAAAAAAACGCCAGAAGCAAGAGGAGAAATTACAGACAAAGAAAAACTTATTTTTCTCATTTCTTTAATTAAATAAAATATAAATACTATAAAAATACTAACAGATATTACATGTTTTAAAAGAGATTACAGCATATATTAATACTTGCTAGTAAATATCTGAATATAAATAAATAACACCTTTATTTTTCACTCTGCTGTATAGCAAAAAACAAGAAAATGTGTGGAAAACCAAACAGCCCAGCGACAATCGAAAAGCGAATGGAAAATCAAAGGTGAAAAGATGTGAAAAGCAAACGGAACGTGCACGGGTAGCATTTAAATTCCCCCTCGCCCTCGCCTCGCTTTGCCGCTTTTCCCTTAACGTTTTCCCATTTACCATTTTCCACCTACAACTCCGGGTAAGCCGCTACTGAGGCACACACATGACGTATTGGCAGGAGCTCCTGGAGTCCTGGTTCCGGACTCCCTTGCTCCCACAGCCTTTCCGCCTTTCCGCTTTTCCTGCTCGCAACTCTGGGGCACTTGAAAGCCCGGGCATATCTTGATTGTTTGCATGTAAATCTGCACAAAATCCCCAAAGTACCCAAGTACCCGAAGTACCCAAAGGAAGAGACAGTCCCCCGATTTTTCCCCCCACCATTTCCCGCCGGGTAGCGGTGCTCCACGATGATGGCCTTGGCGCATCGCATCGCATCGCATCGCATCGCCTGGCAATCCCTTGCACAATTGAACCTAGAGGGGGTGTCCGTCCTGAGTTACCTGTTCGATTTTTCCAGGTGTGCTGATATTTTCACCAACGGTAGGATAGAGCTGAGAAAATGCCCTACACTTAGGCATATATACTAATATATTTGTTTAAGTGTAATTAATATAGATATTTGCTTTTCTTCTTATAAGAATAATTGGTTTTTGAAACTTGAAAGATCTTCGATTATTGAGGTTTAATCAGGGAAAAAATAATTAAATAATAATAACTAAGATAAAGAAAATACTATAAAAAAATTAAATTTATAAAATTTACAAAATATATTTTTGGTTTAAAACATTATTCCCTTGAAATGAATTTTATATAATTTATATAACTTAAAAATCATATTTTTCTCATCCCAAAGGTAGTTCCTTAGAGCTGTCCCTCAAGCCGTATCCTTTAAGGATCCTTCCTCAACTCTGGTTTTGGCTCTCCCCATTGCGTGGCCAATTTTCCGATTTTCCGCTGCTCGTTTTTCCCCCTGTTCTTCTGCTACCCATTTCTCATTTCCCCAACTTCCCAGCTGCCCTGCCTGGTCTTCCGCTGCACTTCCCCCGCCTTTATTGGAATTTCACAATAAACTGCAGAGTGCAAAAAAAAAAAAACAGAAGGATAAAAAACAAAACAAAAAAACAACGTAAAACGTAAATAAAAATGTGCAAAGAGCTGCAGATACTCGTAGGCCAAAGCCAAACCATGGCATTTGTAGAAGTTTTTGGTTTGGTTTGGGCCTTTTCCCCCAGCCATGCCACGCCCCCTGATATATATATTTTTTTTTGTGCTGCCACCCTGGCGAAGGATGTAATTAAAAAAGGGCAACATCAACATCAGCAACAGGATGGCGGAGAAAAAAAAGTGAGCTCTGGGAGCTTGTAAACTTTGCAGCGCACACACACACGACACTCGAAGTTGCGACAACAGGCAAGGACCTCAATTCTACGGGCCACCCCCTGACCCCTGACCCCTGGCCCAACCCCTTGGGGGCCCCAAATCGATGAGCTGCTCTAACGATATCCATAGCTCAAAGCCAAATCTCGGCACAAACAGGATATACATATGGCTCGGCAGTCAAAGTCAATCCTTGCATGCGCCCCTACTGATTTTAGATCACAGAGAGAAAAAAGATAGCAGAAGGGCTTAAATATGAACGAGGGATTTATCTCTTTTAGAGAGACTTGTATTTCAAGTCTAGTCTTCAATTTTGAAATATTTTTAAAGCTTTATTCAAGTCTTGACTAAATAATTCCTGCTTGAAAGTAAAGATAATATTAGTTTATTTTGAAATAATATCATATCCTTGGTCATCTTCTAGCTTAAACATTTCTTCTTTTTCTACTTTATTTATAGATCATATATCTTTTAGCTACAATATTTCTTTCAGTACCAATTTCCCCTTGTTGATGCCGCATCCGCTGCGACTTGGGTTTGTAGTCAAGTCAGCTTCTGTTTTCGCTTTTGGCCACCTCTCGCTTTTTTTTTTTTTTGTTTGCTGCCTTTGTTTCTTAACGGGACGAGGACGAGGACGAGGCTGAGAGTCGTTGTTGTTTTTTTGCGGGTATTTTGTATTTTCCCTGTGATATTGAGCCGGCTGGTGGCACTCAAAGGAAAGCCAGAGAGCTTCTCTTTCCCCTGACTGCTACGCTTTTCCCGACCATTTTCCCCGGTTTGTGTTAAGCTGCTGTTGCCGCCTTGATGTATTCGGTTTAGTGTGATTTGTATGGCTGAAAGGAGCTGGAAAATTCGGGACGAAAGCGAGGAACCCACGCACAAACGGAGTTGAAAGCGAAACGCTTAAGAACTAGAACTCGTTTTAGAGTTCTTTGACTTTCAATAAAGTACAATTATAAATGAAAATAGTTACTATAATTAAGCAAGCTTCTAGCCTTGGAAGACCTTTAAATGAGACTCTGTTCCCTTTAGTTTATTAGCCTAATTGAGTATCTTTCTTTTTTACTTCAAACTGTCTTTCATTTCCCTCTTTAAATTTAAGTAGAAGATAAATCTTTTCACCCTGGGCTTGAACTGATTTTCCTTCTCTTATGCCGAGAAAGCTACCCCCTCTTCTTGATTTCCTTTACCACCTATGTCTCTGTCCTTTTTTCTTTCGGAGTTGCAATGTTTGTTGGCCATGTTGCTGCTGTTGTTGCACTCACATCCGCTACATGGCGGCTTGTTGGTTGTTCCTGGCTGGCCCCTATGGTTTCCCATGTTTGCCTAGGCTTTATCGCACACTGAACTAAATTATAAAGAATTTGTGGTTTAAAGAAGCCAAGGGTTCAAGAAATTCACTCACTACAACTTAAGCCCAAGTTCTAGGCTTTAGTAGCTGCTGTCAAAGCTTATACTTAACCTTAACTTTGGCAACTTCTTGGAGGCTCTCCCGATGCCTTCACTATCTAATTTGGTTATAAAAAAGCTGGATAGCTACAGAATCCTAGACTCTATATTTCTTCTTTCGTGTGTGTTGCAATGTGTCATCCTAAATGATCTTCCAGCGTCCCGAGTGCAGGCTTTCCCGGGTTATAAACGGCTTGGCACTCTGCTGGCGCTCCTTTACCTCGTCTAGGAACTGCTGGTATCGCTCCTGAACGAACTGCAGACGCGAGGCATCAACGAGCTTACGCTGGATCAACAAATTGTGGAACTTGCGGGGTTTTGGCTTTGGCAACTCTGGCAGGCTCTTGGGGAAGCGGTCACAGAGGTCTACCAAAAAAGTCTCCCGTTTGGTTACAGACTCTGCCAAGTTCTGGCCCGGCGGTGCAATCGAGTGCTTGGCCCATAAGGAATGAGAATCTAAGATGGTTTATAGGATATGTCCATAAGTATATCCTAGAGAATGTAGATATATATACTCACCGCAGACTAGAGCACGAGTCATTTGCTGGGCTTGTGCTATGAAATTTCTCTTCACCAGACGCAACATTTTGTGAAAAATTCGATGAAGACAAAAGTTTACTTAAATTTTTGAATGCCAGACAATCTGAGAGAATAATTTTAACCTTTAACTTTAAGAACTGTTTATAGCTCTTTCTGGAAGTTTATTAAAATTTTTTGGTAGCCAAATAAGGAAAATCTGGTTTAGTAAAAAAGTTGTGTGTTGTTTTTAGAGTGAAATGTAGGAAATGAATGCAAAAGCTGGTCTATGCTCTTGAGTGGAAAATCAAAGCCTGCTCTTCCATTTTCATTTCCACAGCCACAACTACGGACCAAATTTCATGCTACCCCTTTTTCACATTTTCCCGAGTTTTCCCCAGTTTTCCCCAGTAGTTTCCATCTCCCTTTGCATGCATATTTATAGTTCCGCTTGTTGACAAATATCGCGCTCTGTTGACTGACGGAAAATGCCAGGGGGTCGGCGGAAGCTGCACTGATTAGAAACATAGTGTGGTGTCCTCGGGAGTCCTCTAAAAAAACTACTGCTGGTCCTGGCACAAAAAGAGCACGCACAGTTGTCAGTTGAAAAATTGAGAGGCAGAAAAGCTGGTAGCCAACGAAAATTCGTATACCCTTTGATTGGAAATCTGGAAAATATTTCTAATTTATTTAATTTTATATTCAAATTTCCTTCCATTTCTAAGCCATTCTTTATCAAAAAAATATGCCTAAAAGTATCAGCAACTAATGAAAATAATTATGCAGTAAAAACTCTTCTTAAACCCCTTAACTTTCAGTTTAAAATCTCAGTTCGAGTATCACTAAAGGACATTCATTGGTCGCTATCTACCCGCTGGCTCACAAAAATGCACTTGTCAGGGAATTGCATTTCCCGAAGAGTGTCCTGCCGCTCCTTTTTTCAGCACTCTAGTCGCATTTTTCCTAAACAAATCCTACGCCATGAATACAAAATGGCCACATCGACTATCGCATATTTTAGCAATTGAAATATTAATGGGTGGCCAGTGCTGGGAAAGGGACGTGGGCAGGATATGCAGCGCCGGCGCTACACTTGTCCTTTGTTCAGCAATTTGCGGCAACAATTGGCACAAAGGTTGGTGCACAATAAAAGCCACCTAAGGTAGACATTCCGGCATGTGTGTGTGTATGGATATAACGTACTTACCGTATGCGCTTGTATTTTCCAGCTATTAGCATTCGGCTAAGCCGCACTTAGGCCTAATGTGTGTGCCCTCAAGGAGAGATCTGCCTTGGCAGACCGACTGTCTCATACATATATGACCAGGGGATAATCCTTTATCGGGCGATCGTGCAGGTCCTTTGTTTGGGCTTTGGCCATTGTGCAACCGACACTTGTCCAAATCCACATTCCGCCTGCACAAAAACACACCCCGGCCACAAAGGGATGTATGGGATATGCGGGGATATATGGAATGGATATATATCGATGGCCCATTGTCCTGCCGGAGATCTATGCGCGATCCACTCAAGATAAATTAGAGGCCGCCGCAAAGTGTGTGTGCGTGTAAGCTTAGCCCGGGGATCAGATTGGATTGGTCTCTCCCTCCAGTGGGCATGAGTGGTTCTATGAGGTTATATGTGTCTTCCACAAGGAGTAGGTAGTCCTGACAACACAGACGGCATGTCTTCCGGTTGATTATTAACAAGAGGATGGGAGAGATACATGGGTATAGCTAGAGATACATGGGCTGGGAGCACTGAGTATTATTTGGATATGCTAATCAATATCAGGAATATCTAAGATAAATATATAAAATATATAAAATATAAAATATAAATACACAGAGTACACTCAAAATAATTACCAGGTGTACAAAAGTATTTATAAAACATATATATATATCTTAAACTCCTGATATTTTGTATCCTTTAACTCCCTCTTTCCCTCAATGGCAAAAAGTCAACTGTACAGAATGTACATAAAAATTACAATACTCGTACAGCAAAGTTTATTACGAGAAATCCATGAAAATCAATGGAATGCGAGTAATAAACAGAGCAAACAGCAAGGCGAGGGGGCCTGTCGCAATTATTAAAATAATGTCCACGGGCCATTGAGTTCATAACGCGAATGAGGCCGCAATAAAATAAATAAATGAAGAGGAACTTGTCCTCAAATGAGGCATGCAAATGTTGCCAGGCGAAATAACAAAGGAATCCCGGGCATCCCCCCTGGTCCTTGTCCTTGTCCTGGTCCTGGTCCTGCAATCCTGAAATTTATATAAAAAGAAAACAAAAAAGAAAAATCTGATGAAAATAACAATATCCAGGGGGATACTGGCTGCCGGATTGCTCAATTTTCGGCCATTGGCCACAGCTGTTGGCCTGATAGATTAAAGGGCGCGCCAGATATTAAATCTTGGCCAGATATATGTCGCCTCCGCGGCAGAGAGAGACTTTTGCAAGGATACATAACGGGGGCATAATTGAAAAGGATGCAGGGGGACACTCAAGGGGATTTCTGAATAAAAACAAGTGAGGAATTAATATATGCAAAGGCAAGTCTTGGGTATCTCTTGCTTGTTAATATTTAATATTTTCTTATTTATTATATTTATTTGAAAGTCACATCCTTTGCATAAACACTTTCTTCCCACACATAAAATTCGTTTTTTTTATTATATTTTTTAGGCCCAGGATATTCCTCTCTGGATTAGCGCTAAGGAGGTGTGACTGTGACTGTATTGGCATCGGGTAATCGAGTCTGGGATCAGGACATGTGCTTAACCCTGGTGCCTGGTGTCGAGGGGGTGGAAAGTGGAGGGAGCATCAAAAAGTTGAGAAGTTCAAGTGTATAATTTCGTAACGATTGGGACAGTTTTAGTGCTTCGCTGGAATGGAAAACGGAGCAGCGTTTCGGTGGTTGCTTCTGCGTCCTGTGTCCTGTGTCCTTTTCCATGTCCTGCGACCTTAAATGCGGTTTCATGTTACACATGTGCGTCTAATTAGCGACTGTTTAACGATAACAAGGACCACGGGTCCCAGTCCTCGTCCTCGTCCTCGTCCTGTAACTAATATGCCAGAAAATTAGACACACAGCGAGGGCGAGTCCTGTTAACGAGCATGAAATTATTATCGAAGTGCAATTAATGGTTGCTCCTTGCAGGATGTTGGCCCAACACTTGTCCCCTTTTTTGGAATGTGTGAAGCAGGTCGTCTTGCAAGACGACACTGTATTATCCTGCAACACTTTTCACACGAATTCCGGCGCCACAGCCTCAGCCTCAAGTGCACTTCCGCCTATAGGAGTGTATTCTCTGGAGAGTCCACATATCTCAGACTTGGACCCGCAGCAGCTGGGCGATCCTTTCCCCGGGGCAGAAATCACTTTGCATGTCATGTGTGGGTAGATCCTGGGGCTAGGGATTGACTTGGGTTTTGGACCTCGCCGGGTGCCCGTTAAATCGGATTTGGAGCTTTGGGCGTTAATAATTTGGACCCCGACCGCTCTGATAAGTGAAAAGCCGCCGCTGTCCGTTTTATCCCTTTTTTTTTTTCGAGACATACCCTGTAAGGATATATGGGTTGTAGAAGGGGATTTCAGCATTTTACAAAGAGACCTCAGGTTAAGGTATTTTCCAAGTAGAAAACTTAGTTTGTTTCCTTTGAAAAACTAGTAAAAATCTGTTGAAATTGTTAGGCATTTAACATTTATATTATTTTAAGAGTTTTTTTAACTGCTAAAATTGATTTTAAATATAAAAATTAACCCATTTTCTGTTTTCTAAAATCTTATAAATATTAACAATACACTGTTACTTTTTTTTATATAAAATCTCTAAATATACTTAATTTTTAAAAAATTGTTTAAACATAAAATGCCAGGGTATCTTCCCTTGTGTGTAACCTTTTCTTAACCTTCTTCCATTTTCTGGCTCTCCCTATATTTTTTTTTGCCTTGCCTTTCTTTTGTTTTGTGCAAATTGAGTTACCCCAAGGGGGCAGGGGGCGTTCACAGGGGTCAAAGTGTAGGTTTCGGCTTCGGGTTCCATAGTACATTGATGCCCACTTTGTTTTAATGCGCGCTGATATGTGAGCCGCAGGGCTTAGGCCAGACACATTCGGCCAAAAAGGAAAAGCTGTGGCAAATCGGGGGAAAAATCAGCAAAAGGGGTAGGAGGGGGGGATAATGGAGACCCACACACCCACCCGCCCCTCTGTTGGTGTTGATTTTTCAACAGAATTGAGAAAATTTGTTGGCTGAGATCCGTTGAGGCGTAGACCATAATCAACTTCAGTGGCCAAGACTCAATTTATATTTCAGCAATAACTTGCAGCAGCTGTGTGTGTGCACAGCTAGAAAAAAAGTAGACTGAAAAGGGTAAAGTCAAGTCAAGTTTTCCTTTAAATATTTGCAAGTTAGTTGTAAAAACAAAAGTCAAAGGCAAACTTAAAGATAAATCTAAAGCTAAATATATTTTTTTTATGTTTTTAGAGCTAGAATTCCATCTTTTTTTCCCTCAGTACATGTGGTCATTTTGCTGTAAAATAAAATTGAAAAAGGATTTCCGCTTGTAGTCCCTCGGTCAGCCCGGGCCAAACCAAAGTCCATCAATGGGCAGCGCTTTCCCCCCACCGGAATTTTCCATTTTCCTCAAAGGTGTAAATTTTATTTGAATTATTCGCAAAAGGTCAACAGCAACAACAACAACAAACAAAGAGCCATGTTTGCATTTGTATTTGAATTTCCATCAGAATTTTACTTAGTTTGTTACGTGTTTGGAATGCGACGAATTTTCAGCTCTAGTCTCTTGGATTTCTCGGCAATTTTGGAAATTTTCTCGCCCTGGCCATGGCCATTTGAAGTTGGTTTGATTTAACTTCCGGTCATTTCATTTCCTCTTCTATTTCTATTTTTTTATTGAGGGAAATGTACACAAACTATACAGAATCAGACAGAATTAGAATCAACTTCAGATTCGTTTGTCAAAGGGAAAAGCCCAAAAGTCATGTTTTTTTTTTTGCATAGAAGAGAAAATTAACTCAAATTCTTAGCTTTTTGAAGAATTTAATAAATTAAAATTATTTTGTATATTGTTTTCAAGTTAAAATCCCGCCTTTTGTCTGTAGACAGCTGTAACTGTGACCCAAAAAAATTAGTCACACGCGACCACTTAGCACTTGAGTTAATCACCAGAACGACAGAGACGATGATGATCATGATGATGATTGTGATGAGGTTCAGTTGAATGAATACATCACAGATCACACCTCGAACCGAAAAGC